GCTGGAATATTAATAGCAGTAGAAGCAGTACTTTGAGGAAGAACATGTACATTATTAACATCAAATAAAATAGCATCAACTTTACCAACACCTATATTATACATAACCTCATTCAAATACATCTTAAGTGCATCAACAGTCCATGAATTATTAGAAACAGAAGTAACTCCTCCTGTATTTTGTACTTGTGTAGTATAAACTGGATTACTAACTGTAACCACTCCAGCATTATTATCAACAGTCATTGAAGCAGGAATCATAGTATTATTTGTTCCACTTGCAACAGTACCTGCATTAGTACCTGCATAACCAAGTGAATTAGCATTAGGAATTGGAATAACATCAAGTGTACTCTTTCTTAATCCTCTAAGTGAAACAACCCATGACCATGTTAAATTAAATACAAGTGTTTGGCATGTAGCTGTTTGATTACCTAAAAGAACAGAAAGAAGGAAATCAGGATTCCATGCAGCATATAAAGTAGATTCAGTCAATACTTCAGCAGTCTTAACTGTTGGAAGATAAATACTCTTCTCTTGAAGTGATGAAGCAATAAGTCTTCTTGTAATACCCCATCTTGCACCTGGATAATATGCTCTACTTACTGCACTAGAATATGAACTCACTTGATATGGTCCAGGTACAATTGGTACATTAGTTATATTCTGTCCTCCTTCTGGATTGGTTACTACATTAGCAGTAGCTTTATCAATACCATTTCTATCCCATGCAGTAATAACATTAGGGAAAGTCATTGCAGCTTGACCAAATGTATTGTATACAATTTCAGCTGATACTGAAACACCATCAATTTTAAATTGATCATACATTCCAGCATAATGTTGGAAGAATTCAGTACCACAAAGCAACTTAGTTACATTACGTACTGTAGTTGCACCATTAGTATTAGCTGGAATAGCTAATTGTACAGTCTCAGTAGCATTTAATACTACTTGAGTACTGTCTCTTTGTTGGAAGGCAGCTTTTAAATTTCCTGCCATACTAGATTTTAAATTACGTCTTGCACGAGGTGCAGTTGCTCTTCTTGCTCTTCGCATCATTTTATTAAATTATAGTTTCTTACTATCGAGTTCTTATATAGGCCGAAGGCCATTTGTTCTTTAGATCTTTCTAAACAGACCACAAGAGAACGGCATCCCCTTTAAGTCGTAAAGGGACCAAAACAGTCACCTAAAGTAGTGTAAGGGATAAGGGTGAGTGTGTGTTCCTCTTTATGACTTAAATAGTGGGAGGAGTGATCATAAGGTCTCTAAGAAAAATTTATTACATAATTAGTATAATACTATATACATCATTGATGTTCTATTTTTATCATACCCTAGTTTTTTAATTTACCCTATTTCGGACATATTACTTATTGTCACAAATATTTAGTGTCACAACGCACCTTCCGTGCGTATGGCGCGTAGCGCCATTGTGACACTAAATATTTGTGACAATAAGTAATATAGTAAAAATTGTGACTGTTGATGTCATCACTTCATTCTTAATTATAATATACTATTCTTATTTATGTAATTAATCATAATTGTTTATTATTATTATCAATTTTATTTTTTGTTATTCGTCTTTTGTTATTATTCTTATCTTTTTTATCATAATGAATAAATTGTGTTGATTAATCCCATTTCGTTATTGTGACCCTTATCAATACTACTTAATTCTTTATGACATTAAAATATTAATCATTCTTTACGATGATTGGTGTTATATAATGTATCTTCGTTATTATTATTTATATTATTTATATTTAATATATTAATTATATTAATATTTATATACATGTTTATTTTGTATTGAATATTTTTATGAATATTCTTTTAATTTTTTGAAATTTAATTTGAAATTTCTTAATGATGAATAAAATTTAATGAAGATGAAATAATTTCTAGATTTTCATTATATATATAATATTTATATGAATAAATAATTAATTATATAAATACAATTATGATATAGATATATATCATATTAATTATATATAATAATAGTACTATTTATATCACTTCATTCATTTTTATTCTTTCATTTTACATTTTATTCTTATTTTCTTTCATCTGATTATTGTTTTATTCATCATATTCTCTTATTTATTCTTATTTCTTATTTATTTATTTCTTATTTATTTATTTCTTTTTTTTTTATTCATTTTTATTTATTATCTATTTCTTATTGTTATTCATTTTTCTCATTTCTTCATTATAAAGATACTGTCATTTCTTTATTTTATTTCTTTCATCTTTTTATCATCATCTTATCATTTAACTTATTCATATTCTTATTAATCATAATCTCTTTAGTAGTTAATTCAATTAATGTTTTGATAATAAGAAATAAAATGGTAAAGAATAAATAGAATTATTATATTAATGATAAAAAATGAATATGATAAAATCCATGATATATGTTGAGTATTTATAATGATTTATTAATTTTTAACTATTCATAAAATTGAACAATCAAAATTTATGAATTAATAAATGAAATGTTCATATTTATGTTATAATTTATGTTTTCATAAGTATAAAATATTAATTTTGTATGATTTTTCAATAATTCATAAAATGAAATAATTTTATTCTTATATAAAAGATAACTATTATTTATTTCATATTATTATTAAATAATAACTCTATCATCATTTATATTCTCTCTTATTTCTTTATTATTTATATTCTTTTTATTTATTTCTTTATTACATCATTATTATGAATATTATGTTTATTTATTTCTAATATTCTTTCTTTTTGATCATCTCTCTTTCTATTATTATATCTTATTATTCTATTATCATTATATTTTAATTAATATATTATTTTTTCTTTCATTCTTCATTGAAAAATAAATAATTTCATCATTCTTTATTATGATATTGAAAATACTTAACATCATATACATATTAATTCAAAATAGAAATGTAATAATATAGAAATGATATAAATCATGAAGATATTATATTGATATTTAGTAATGTAATTCAACAAATTATCGATTTTATTCAATTATCTATAAAACAAACAGTTCAAAAATTGAGTTATGTACTGTTATTCTTTGTGTCAAAAGTATTTCCAATCAATTATAATAATCTTATTAATGTTATAAAGAATGAAATAAATAAATATAATAAAACAACAATACAAAATGTAATTAATTGAAAATCACAATGAAGTGGTGCAATTGTAAATAATGTTTAAAGTGATATTTGATTAACAACTATTGGAATTCTCTAACTGAAAATATTTATGAACAAATAGTTTTTGAATTAAGAAGAATAACATGATATATTTAAAATAATAATAATACAAAGAATGAAATGATTTGATCAATAAGAATATATGGATGACTAGAAAGAAATATTCATTGATATAAACATTTCAAGAAATGTCATAACATTAAAAATACTCTTTATACAATTACAATATGTCATAAAGAAGAAAAGAATAAATTAAAATTAAAAACAATAACATGGTATTTTACTTTCATTTTAATCAATTAAATCATTTTCAATAACAATATCGAATAGAAATAAAAGATATTCAATAATTAAGAATCTAGATTCAATATAATTGATATATGAAGAATTAATAGAATAGAAGTATAAATAAATAAGAATGATATAAAATGATGTTGAATGAAATGATTAATTTAATAAAATTAATAAAAGAAATAAAATATAAGAATATGATAAACAAAATAAATTGATGAAGAATAAAAATGAGAAAGAATTAATATTCAAACACAAATAAATAATTTAAATTATCAAATTAAAATAAATAAAATGTATTAATAATACTGATTAATGATATTTAAAGAGATTGAAAAAATTGATAATCATAATCATTATCATATTAATTAAATAATTTTATTTAACAATACTTAAAAATGTTAATAATAATAATAAAATGAAAGAATTAGATAATATGAATAATACAAATAGAATATAATATAAAGAATATAATAAATGAATTGTAACAATAATCAATGTTATTGTAATTGAAATTCATTTCACATTATATCAACATAAGAATTATGAGTAAATATTAAATTAATAAATAAAATCAATATTTAAAATAAAATGTATAATATCTCTTTAATAACAATGAAAATACATTTGAATTAGAATCAATATTAATTAGAATTAGATTCATATTCAATAAATAATTATCAAAAGAATATCATAAATTAATATAATTAATAATATTTCAATTCAAAATAATTAGTAAATATCTTATTTATTCATTGTATGTGTTTAAATTTTATTAAACAAAATGATTAATAGTTGATAATAACATGAATAAATATATTAAATAAATATAGAATTATTATATTCATCATTACAATATATTTTATATAAATTATTCTAGATGTTTTGAATTATTCATTTGTATTTTAATTCTTTCATTCTTTTATCTTTGTTATTCTATTCTTCATCACATTTTATTCAAAATTGATTCTTTGTTGTTGTAGTATTTGTGTATATTGAAATATCATTTTTATTATATAATTAGAATACATTAAGAAATATGAATAATATGAATAATTAATTTATCAATTTAAATAATATAATAAAACAATTTCATTGAATGAAAATATCATTTTGTTTACTATTATGAGTTCTTTAATATGATTCAATTTATATTCTCTTATTAATGATTAACACTACAATTTGTTTGTATTCAATGTTATTATCACATGATTTAGATTTGTTTATTATGAAACAATCAAAATATTCATTTTCATAAAATAAAGAATAATGTTTTGATGAATTATTAAATTCAATGATAATGAAATCTGATAATCAAATTAATGGATTTCTTCAACTCTTTTTGATTGAAAAACAATTCATAACAACAACTTTAATCTTTATGATAAATTTAAACGAATATCTACTTCTTAACTTCATTCTAAACTACATCTATGCAATCATTGGAG